CACTTGTTATGTTTTCATGTTAACAAAAAACTTTTTAATACATAAGTTAAAAATAGCAGGCTTGTTGGAGAGGATAAAGAAAGTCCAATTTATTCACAAGTACATCAATTCCTTTTGAAATGTATCCTACAGCAATATTCTACATAAAAACTCTACCTTTTATTACATTTGTACAAATGATACAGATGCGCCCTATCTGGTATTGTAGGTAGRTGAGCCTGGCTAATTGTGAGCAACAATCYTTACAAAATATCTGAAAGAAAAACCAAGGAAAAGTACGTCATAATCTTAAAGTAGTCAAGTCCTGATTAATATAATGTTTTCTAATTTTGTGCTGTAACTGTATCAGCGCTGTAACCATACAATAGAGCTTTGCCAGAAATATACTTCAGATCAATATCCACCAATCTATTATCAAAATTATTTCTCTTTGAAAGTAGTCTTCTCATTATTAATATCACAGACTCGTACCCAGTCGTTACTCCTTATTTTTCGCAACGCTTGAAGAGGTTGATGGGAAGTTCGCCCTTCCCTTGATGCATTGCGCACCTCTAAAAAAAAGCCGGAGAAGCGACTGGGTACGAATCATAGACTCACCTTTCCACACCCCCGACAGTGGTGTTTTCTGCGTATGAAAGTGAATTTCAAATGACAGTAGGCACACTTGAATACTTGATCATCAGGGACCCAATARGGAGCAACATGACCTGGCTACATAATGATATTTGTACAAGATGAAATGAATAGTAATCATCTACAAAACTAAAAATATCAGCCATCTTGATATTAATTCATAATTCCTTAGTTATTTCACATACTATTTTTACGGTGAAAAATTTATCTTTTTACACTCAACTGTTTCTTTAGAAACACCGACGCAGCTCACACTAGTTTACCACTAGTTCCCATCACCTCCTTACATTATATCCTTCCTCAACCAATAATTCTCCATATCATGCTAAGCCTCATCCAATAATTCTCCAATTATCATTAATGACCATGACCAACAATTCTCCATATCATACTTAGTCTCCACCATCAATTAGATTCATAGCATGCTCAGTCTCAACTAATACACTCAACCTCAAGTATAGTAATAACAACAAGCATAATATCTGCATAGTTACATACCATTTTAGGTTTTGTCTCAGGCTGCGAATTAGCATTACCAACGTTAACAACAGCACTAACACATGGGTCAGCAGTTACACCATTAATGCCATGCCCTGTAGATGATGTCACATGTGCAGTTGTAAAGTTAGGACTTGCAGGGYGAAGGCTAGATGATGCAGATGATTTCACATGTGCAGTTGTAAAATTTGACCTTGCAGAAGGAAGGCTGGGTTGTGTATCTGGTGGTATTTGACTTGTATATCCAGTAGCCTGGTCTGTAGGATCATTGCTCACTTCTAGTAARGTTACCATGGAGTCAGTGGACAAATGCTGTCTTTGCTGTGAGTCACCATTGGCCTGACTAACAGGGGTATGCCAGGGTTGCATTCTGTTTTTACTCTGTTGACTTGCATGGGGTTGTGATATGATACCACTTGGCTGACTCAAGGGGAGTTCCCTTGGTGTCTGATTGTTTGCAACTTCTTGATYACTTACAGGGTGGCCCTTAGGATCAAAATCAGGATTCATATGTGGTTGCATAGTCCTTTGTTGAATCACAGGGAGTCCACTACCAATTTTGCTACCAATTGTGTGACCAACTTGGTGTCCCCTAGGTGACATAACATCATCTCTCTTTTGACTSACTAGGGGTCCCCTAGATGCTTTGGGGGTAGTACTATTTTGGTTTACAGGGCCGCCCCTAGCGTGCATTTGACTTGACAGCATACTTTTAGGAATTGTCTTGAAATCAGTCCTTAATYAGCCTTCCTTACTTGAGTCACTTGCCGATTCCTCTGGGTTGAATGGATTTGAAGAGGGCCCTGTTAAATATTCACTRGAAGGTAAAGGAAAACCAAAGTTACTTCTGGGCACTCTAGTTGAGGGAGAAGAACTTGAAGCAGAGGAAGAGTCACCACTCTCATCTAGAAAAGGATTTGTTGTTACGGGAGTTTTCTCTTCATTAACAGAGGCACTTGTCCAAGTTGGCCAATCTTGTTGGTGATMCTTTTCTGTAGGAGACTTTTTCTCAAAATCTGACTCTCTTGAATYTTCCACACTCTGCTCTCCAGAACCTTTCTCGCCAGTTTTCTCACTGCTGTCAAATGATGTGATGTTGACTTGCTCACTTACATGTAAGTCATCTGTACGAGATAAAGGAAACAACATGGTYCTACCATTCAAGTTGATTGATTGGCTTAGTTCACTGGATAAATTGGGTGCCCATACAGGCTTCAGCATAAGTACTGGTAGGTTATCTTTCATGACYATATGTGGTTGATAATACAATGGTATACTAGGTAATGCTGTATTTGCACTRAATATAGCATTAGACATTTCTTGTGCTGTGCCTGAAGTTGARATCATACTAGCAGGCGATGTAATAAAGACGGAATCATCTTGATCTGTCTCTCTTTGTTTAGGATGATCATTCATGGATGTARAAGTCTGGTCTGACTGGGTAGGCTCTGGTGCAGGATTTTTTATTTCTACAGGTAAGGATGGAAACTCCTCGTACTGCTCACGTAGGGCTATCCTTTTTGATGGTTTACTWTGAGCATTACTTGCCTGGTGCTTTGGTGTTGTTGAAYCATGTGGCAAGTCATTTGGCTTGTTCTCTATTGGTGATGTTGAYTAGCTTTTAAAATTAACTCTATAAGATTCTGGATCCAAMGTTATAACCCGAGAAGCATCAGAAAAACTCTTATGATTACCAAAATCATGTGTRGRACRTTTTATTTGARCTTRGTTTGGCATTGAGTGAGTTGGAGTAACTTGAGGAGAGTTGTCATTTTTATTCATTGCTTGAGAAGCTTCTTGGATATTCTTTTTAGAAAAATCTGAAAAGTCTTTCAATTTATCTTGTTTGGGCTTATGATTTTCAGTTARCAATGATGAAGGTTCTGAGATGTTCTTTGTCAGTRTATCAGGACCAAGAGTGCCTTGAYCATTCTGTGTAATGMTTAATCTRTCTGATGYAGATGCTGACAGCTCACTCARTGATGACCCAACTCCTGATGCAGGTGTAGATGGACGTACGTCATCATCAGKTGATACCACATTAACATCATTATCATAATTCTGCACATCYTTTTGAAGTTGCATCTCGCCTTTGATATCATCTGCAATATATGAAGAGTTCTCATGATTGCTGGTAAAATTTTGGGTATCTTCTCCACGYCCATCTTCTCTGTTTTCWGCAACTTGGCTTGCATGCTCTTCTCCACTTTCAATCTCTTTCTCTGGAAGAATTCTGCCTTTACTTGTTTCGTSTTTTTGTGAGTCAAGTCTACTTGTATCATTGTTTTCCAGCTTTCTGTTTGGTGTTCCATTGACAAGAGCTTCTTTCTCTTCACTTGTTAAATCTGCACTATCAACTTCTTCKGTCAACTCCTTCCTTTCCAAATTATTATCCATCTTAGGAGAGCTTTCATCTTCATTCACAGAATCAATTCCTGGGTCATCATTGATTCTTGATGGTTTCGGTTGYTCAAATTTTTCAAGCATTGCTTCAAGATCTTGCTTGCTTTTTCCTTCCATGATCTGTGCCATCTTAAGAGCAAGAAGGACAGTTTCCTCAGGCATTCCTTGAAGCAAGGTGTCCATCGAGGTWGGAGGAGAGGTAGCCATRCTTGTTTTTATGGTCTAAATTTMTGGTATACTCTGTTGGTTTATAAAACGGTATTTATTGCATTACATTAATTCCCAAGACAAGYTTATCACATAGCTACCAAATCATATGAGCTAAAAGTATAATCAGCTCAATGATATACATGTACACAATGTTAAAAAAAAAACACTATGGTTCCTGATAATTACACTCACAACATTGCCCCCTCTTGACGATAAGAAAAAAACAGTCTCTTACAMCAAATGGAAGTAGATCGATGTGTTGTAATTGCTACAATAAGAGGTGCTGGATTTTATTTCACAGAATATTAAATAATAATAAAACTGAACAGTATCTAGACTACAAAATTTTCAAAAAAGAAAAAATATATAAATTTCGATTAATCGAAGACGATTGATGTTGACTTATAACGATTTATCGATCAAGTAGTTAATCCAAGCAAAGCGGAAGTAAATTTCACAGTTTTCTTGTATACTGCAGGTGTACAAGAAGTTTATTTCAAACAAACCACACAGTATAGAACTAGAGCTATTAATCCATTTGTTGATAAATATTGGACATTTTTCTTGAATAGACGACAAGGTGTCTTTGACAGCAGATGCGAGTTTCACGATGGAAAAAAATGGTGAAAATTGTGTAGATTACGCTTCGAGCTGAGCATATCAAAAACTACAAAGGCTCTCTACAGTGATGACCACATGAATAAACAAAAAGACTCAAGGAATATTAAATAAAAACTCTTTAAAGCTAAAAACAGTTTTGAATTCAGTACATGAACAAGAATGATACGACCATCTGACACGACACGCGCGACTTGCCATCTTAGATTTCACGACTTCGACGATTTCTCTTCAACTTAAACGATTTGAAAATCAATCCATTCAAAGTCCATAAAACGTCAGTAAGACAACCACATATTTTAGATAATTTGGCAACACTTACCAAACCAATATTTTGAAGATAAATTGACGAAAATGATATTTAATCACCGGAGACATCGGCTTCGTGATCGTCCATCTTGGAAACAAGTCTCAAAACAACATCTGACCGAGGCCAAAATGGTATAATTCAGGGGGAGGGGGAGGGGAGTGTGGTAGCAAAAATTTATTGACTTACATCGAGTACAATTTGGAATTAATAGTCACAAGTAATTTTTTGCAAGTTGTTCGTAATTGCACGAGCCCTATTAATTCCAAATTGCACAAGAGGTTGTGCAAGTACATTCAGCAAAACAAAATTTTATAAGGAGTACATTAACGCTGTAATTGTACTCCTCTTGACAAATTAAAAAGTTTTATTTTTGTACTATAAAAGAGAATAGAATATTGAATAAAAATCAAAACATTATTCTTACAGCTGAATTGACTAGTATATTCATTGAAATAAAAAACATTTCCATTTTTATTTACACCAAAATCAAAATTAAAATTGGACAACTTTTTCTGTTTTCTTTTTAAACTTTTTCTTTGGTCTTGTGTCATCATCAGAATGAACTTCGGCGTCTGCACTGGTGAACTTTGATATCTTTTTATAATTGGGTCCACTTTTGCCTCCACTGTCTGAAAGATGCAAAAAACAGGTAAAATAAATTTAATTTTAATAAATAATTTTAATTTCAATTTAACAATTGCTTTCTGCAGAATTGTTGTTACTAAAGATAATTGATTGTAAAATTAACACTTGTGAAGTTCATTTTTACCAGTCTTCTTTGATTTTAAAACAGCATCTGGGCAATCTCTTTTGAGGTGTTCAACTGACCCACAAATATTGCAGCCTCCACCTACAGTGACAAAGTTCCACATAAATAATGAATAAATGAATAATGGAAGGATGGATGGGAAAAGAGAATGGATAGATGAATGACTTCTTCAATGAATAGATAAACAAATGACGTACAATACCTTTTGGATACAGGCCTCTAGGGTTATCTGGACAGCTCCGTGATAAGTGACCAGTTTCTCCACAAATAAAACACTTTGCAAAAGGATATGGATTTTCAGCTGAAATATTGAATAAATAAAACAAAAAATTAATAAAATGATAGATACACAAACAACATGTGTAATTAAT